CTCCTTCTCTCCTCACATGTGCTCCTGGTAGGAGAAGCACAGCTGCTTTGTTTCAATGGCAGGCACATTCCTGCCTAAATTAGCCTAAACAGTGACCTGATTTGCAGAATACAGATCCCTGCTCCCATGGCCTTGGTTTCTTGTCCAAGTGGCAATGTTCAATAATTTCTCTTCCCCATCTCTGACTGCACAGACAGGTACACAAAGCAGTAAAATCTTGGTTTATAGACATCTACTTCTCATCTGTGGAAAATACAGCTTTCTGTGTCTGTCCAGGAAAACTCAGATCCAGAAGCTTTCTGCAATATGTGGTCTCCCAGGCAGAAAGAAGAAATGTCACCTGTTCTTTCTACTGTAATTTAGCCATTTCTTTGAGTTGTTTCACTCTTCCTTTGCTGCTTTTGCTTGGAAAAGAATAGCTGAGGAAAACATAATTTTAATGGCTGTGCAATAAGTTTTTGTTCATCTTGGGAATTTACTGCAGGATAGCTTTACCTAATTCAGATCAATGATAATTATTCATTGACTTCAGTGGGAATGAACACTACCTCTATTTCTTACTATCTATACATGAAATAGTTCCATTGGCTGAATTCTTCTCTAATCCCATATTTTTCTTTACACTTCTCTTTTTGGGACTGTCTTGCCACTATGACCAAAGTATCCCTAAGAATGTTATCAGAGCCTTCCCAAAATTGTTAAAATGGCTTTTAGGTCACATCTGTGGCCGTTGTTTTCTAGGCAGAGTAACTCAACCCACCTAGGCTTTTCTTTCAACTGAGATTCTAGAGACCTTTGTTGGCCTGCGGTGCACCCTCTGCGAGGCAGTGCTGTGCTTCTGGCAGCACAGTTCTGCAAACAGGCCCAGGTGAGCTCCAGGTGGGTTACAGCTATGAAAGATCTTCTCCTGCAGAAAATATATCACCTCCTGCTTATTGCTTTATCCCCTTGCTAATGCCGCTTGATGTTTGCCTCTGCCTGCTGCCGTGTGCTCGGTTGATGGTTTCAGGGGTTTTTCTACAATAACTCCCCAGAGTTACCAGCTGTGTTAGGGTCCTTCACCCAGGAGTGGACTCAGCCATTTTACCACCAGGAAATTTATGCTGGGTAGTCCTGAGAAACAGGGAAAACACATTAGTTAAAGTACTTTGTGAAAATACTGCTCTTAGTGAAAGCAATCACTGAGGAGTATGCAATGATTCTGAACTGCAAAAAGATATTTGAGGCCAGCAAATAAAAAGACATCATTTTAACCATTCATTTTGACAAAACAAAATGATAGAAAGCTTTTTCCTTTATTTTTGCCTTTGTGGAGCCATTCAAAAGTAGCAATAGCTTCAGCAGAGAGTAAAACTTCTTTATTAGAGATGCTGTTCAGAGGTGTTTGATTTTGAGGTTCACTTAAGGTAAACAGTCAAGAGAGTAGAGACCATCCTTTGATCTGTCAGATTGGAGAGATACTCACATAACCACACAATCAGTAACTTCTGGGCCACTGATTAATTTGCTGAGACTCTAGGCAGGACTGTCTGTTCTTTAATTATCTTTGAAGACCAAAATAAGCTTGGGGTTTATAAGCAGGTTATGTATGTTTGGGGTGAATTAAGGGGAAGTGCTCTTCCTTGATTTCATGATTTGTACTGGGGAAAAAAAAAAGTAGATTCCCTTTTTAATTTTCTGATTCTCAGTTTTCATTGAAATAAGCAATTATAAATAAGTTTGAACTTAAAGTCCATTCAGAACTGTGAGAACCCTGACATAAATATGCAGTTTCCACATGATCTGAAGTACTGCACACAGACAATCAACAGATTTATATCAAAACATACTACACAGTAATCTTTAAACCTTCATGCCTGTTTAAAAAAGTAATACATTTTGTTTCTTACTGTTTGTATGGTACTCTAAACTGCAAGAGAAGGTATATAGGAATATGTATGAGCTAATGGCAAACTTTAAGTACTGTATCAATAAAGACATTAAAGAGGTGATAGAAAATGAAAGAGACGGGGTCTTTTCTATCGATTGCCAGACCTGGGAATTGTGGTAGCTGTGGGCATTGCTGTATTTCAACCCAGCCACTGTCCTATGCACCCACTGCACTGGCAGAGAGTGCTGTGATGTGGAGCTGCCATTGCTGATCCTGAACAGAGTACTGGCTGATTAATTAGAGAGTTATTAATTGCACCCAGCATTCTATGGAAGCATAAGCTCCTAGATATCATTATTATTAATAGCTACTCCTTTATATTGCTGCAGAACCATACCTTTAAACCAGACCCTCCTGCTTGTCCCAGAGAGTTTGCAGTCTGCTCCTATGCTTACAACTCAAGGTCTCTACAGAAGGAAGGTAGGGTAGGAAAAGTGTGTCAGACCCAGGCTGTGTTTTGGGCTTCCCAGGCAGAGAGGAAGCTCTGGGGTCTTGCTCCCAAACCAGCCGCAGGCATTGCAGCCTGTCCAGCACCCTGGCAGGGCTCAGAGGTCCTCAGGATATGACTCTCATCCTTTCTAAGGTATAGGATAGTCCTTGAGGAAAGCTCACAGGAGCTAAGAGACAATCAGTGTTTTATTGTTTTTGTTTCATCCCCGTTCCTCCTGCTACTACCCTTCTTTGTTTCTGAAGTGCTGAGAAAAAAACCCAAAAGATGCTTGGACATAAGTGGGCTGGGAAATTTATTCTTTTGCTGTCCTTTTGTCCTCTATATTATTTAATGGGTATAAGAAACACACCAATAACCATTAGATTTGCTGCTCTTCTGTCAAATTTTACTTTATACGTTTCTGTCAAATTTTCTCTAAGTGGACTGTGAAACCTAACAATGCTTTATTTTTCCATGTATTTGTTGAAAGCACTGGAAATACAACCAATACCAGAACTTCTCTGTAAAGACCCAGAATAAAAATACTTGCCTGTAGTAATTCCTTACAATGAGCTGGCAGAAGGAAAATCTCTCAGTTAGTGGCAAGTAACATTAAGGAAACCGTCATTACTAAACTAAAAAACCATTAGACTTACACCAACTCCAAATGTGATAAAAATGAGTTAATGGCTCTTTAGGTGACATTGTTTACCAAGAATTATAATTTACTTGTGTTTTTGTCAATTTAATTAATTGAGTAGTTAATTAAATATTGTCTATAGGAAACTGCCATGCAAAAAAAAAATCAGTTTACTGCAATCCCCCTTTTTTTAAAATGAATTTCATTGCCATCAAATAAAGAATGTGTTTGTGTTTGTTTCCTCTGTTTAAATTCTGCTTCCTCCTTGTGAAACTGTTAATATGGTAGAGCCCTGCTCTGAAATTGCCCACAAACTCTTAAAACATAGCTAATTACAGATAGCCCAATTTAAACTTTACAGCAGTCTTGATACATTGAGAATGCGTGGAAGGTGGTTTATGCCAGACAGCGAGCAGGAACACATTGTACTTCTGCAAATCTGGAGATGAAGCAAGAAGGACTCCTTCTGCTGACAGAAAGTGGGGCTCACTAAATACAACTGGGAAGAAAAAGTTTAAAATTGTGGTGTTAGTTGGTTAAATTTTTGTAATAAATGCTAGTCTTGGTTATGGATATTCCTCTTCTATGGAGTGCAGTGCAGGGGTAAAGTGATCAGAAGAGCAGTGCTGTAAGCACATTGTATCATATTCCAACAGTATCAGCAAGTAACTTCCACCTACTAATGGTTTGCTTGCATTTTACTTCAGGGAAGTTCTGGGGGCTGCTCCTGGGAGTTTTGTGGAGCTGGGCACAGAGACTGGGGGAAAATGGAGCTGGGAAAGCAACAAAACTGGACTGTGCTCTGGATGTCCAGCAGCCTTTGGCAGGTCACTCAAGATGGATTTTTTTTTTTAAATTCAACTCAGAAAAAGAAATAAAAATGATGTATCTTTACTGCTTGTAGGGGAAAAGCGTTCTTTGTTAGGTATCAGTACTAAAGGCTTTAGCGGTGCACAGATGTTGTGCAATGAGTGTGGCAGGATAGTGCTATGTAAAAGGGCCACAGCCAGCTTAGAGCTCATTTCTGTCACAAGAACTCAGGATCACAGGAAGTTGTAGTGTCTGAAGATCTGTAAGGACATTGTGTTTATTCTGAGATCATACTATTTGAAATTGTTTTCTTAATTCCATCAACAATTTAAAATTGCTTAGCATCTCAGCTCAGGAAAAATGATGTGATTTTTATAACTCTTCCCAAGATTTGCCAAAACTGCAGAATGTGGGCCTGCCAAACTGGCCTGTAGCAGATGTTGGTAAGGAGAAGTGCAAAGGCTCTGAAGCTCTGTTGTACATGTGTCCATGATGGAAAGCTGTTGGCCGAGGATTGCTCCCGGGTGTGTGGTCTGAGCAAGGAAGTGCTGCCTTCTCTTACCTCCCCAATCCACACAATCTCATTTTTCTCTGCTCTTCTGGAAAGGACAAGGAGACTTCCTCCAGCCCCAAGAAGGCATCCCCAAAGACAAGAAGAACGTCCTGAAACTGCTGAGCTCCTGTGCACTGTCCCAGCTGCCCTGTACTCAGATCATCCTAAGATTCTGGAGGAGGACTGGGATGTACAAAAGCTGCCACTCAATGAGACATGTGCAAGGTGCTGCACTTGAAAAGGAGGTTCAAGACTGTGACAACCTGGAGGGAAAGAAACCAGGGCATACTGTTTGCTTTTCCAGATAGAAACAATTTTGGAGAAATGCATTTTTGCACAGGAACCTCCTCACGATTTCTTTTGACCTCTCAGAAGTTCTGCTTAGGAAATGAAATGTAAAACACCTTTACCTCATTGTATGTAATTTCCTTAGTGACTGATTACATTTTAGGAATGTTTTCTTATTTTCTGAATTAAATCATTTTGTCTTTCTGTAGCAGACAGTACTCATTAACCTTTTAAAGATTGTCAAACTAGTTTGAAGCATTCAATGGAGGAAAAAAAATAAAGGAAAAACCCCACTGTTAAGCATCTTTTTAATCTGATGCTTCTGAAGTAACAGGCAACAAAGACTAGGTATTCTTGCTGTAATGTATTAGATGTGACACTGGTTTACACTCTACTTGAGCAGATTTGAAGAAGGTACAAAATATGAACCAAGTTGTGACGTATAGTAGGAATGTCATTTATCATCTTATCAAAGTTTGATGTTTAGAATGATACTGATTTTCATGATTAATGACTCCATATAACTCTTCTAGACTGTTGAGAAGAAGAAAATAGAAGTCCACTTTCTAAGCCTCACTAAGCACACATGGCAGAAACCAGGAGATAAGGAGTGGCAAGATCTCAAACCACTGGTGCTGATGAATTCATGAATATGTAAGTAGAACTAAATGAGAAATTTAATGTGATTCTGCAGGGTTTTTGCTTCCCTTACCTCCCCTAGCCCTCAAAATACATTATGGATGATAGTGACTGCATAATATTCAAGCCATAACTATTACTAAAAAGTACCTATTGAGCTGGTGAATGAAGGGAAATGTTTAAAAATGCTGGTATTATATCTATACTTACAGTGTTTATGTGTCTGAGCAACATAATATATTTATCTTGTTAGTCTCTGCAATAACTGTTGGTCCCTGATTCTTCAGTCTGTAAAGAGTTTATCATATCCCTGTTTTGGAGAGGCTCAGTAATAAACTAAAGATGCACAGATTAATCTGTTACTTCATTTGTATCTTACACAAGTACCTTTGCAGCAGAAAAGGTCTGTAGCCACCTCCCCTGATAATGTTGCTCTTCCATGCAGGGCATGTATGTGCCATCACAAAATGGCATCTGTACATGTTTTGGTGGGCTCTTTGGCTAATTAGGTTTTAAAACAACATGGTTAAATCCCTGGCACAGCCCTTCTCCCAGGAGAGGAAACTGGCTCAGAGCATTACTTTGGGGACCAATCAATAGCGATCAATTCCTGCAGCATGGGGCTAGAATGTTCCCAAATCCAGACATCTTACCCAGAGGGATTTCTCCCAAATCCACTTTCTGGTAGCTTTGCTACCTTGTAATACAATGAAGGCAGCTACTATTTGGCTCACGAAGAGTGCAGTAGTTAGAGATGAGTGTGCTGGTGCCTTGGTATCAGCCAGATGGTCATAATAAAACCAGCCAAGGCAACTGGAGGCCAGCTGAGAGAAATCACCCTCCTTTCCACAGCTCCTGGCAAGAGGAAGGGCTGTCCTCAGTAGGTCCGTGGCAGGAGCTGTGCCGTTTCAAGATACCTTCCTTGCTGTACCTCCCAGCCCATTTTTCCTCTTCTGGAGGTAAAAAAAAGAAGGCAAAACTGTGAAGATACTGAAACTTGTTCCTCACATTTCCTCAAAACCAGAAGAAAAGAATGTAAAGGATACCAGCGTTCCATCCATTCAGCGCTGCCAGAGTAAAGATGTGTCCTTTGGCTTTTTAGGAGGCTTCTATTAAAACAGCAGCCATTACCACTGATACTTATTTAGAGTCTATGGTGAGATTCTTTGGTGCTGCTGAAAGAGTAACACTACACACAGGAAAAGTAGGAACTCTTGTAATTTAAGGAGGTTTTATGGCTCCTTTAAATTGTGTCCTGGTGAAACAATTGTGTGCAAAATCCTAAGATATGGAATTGCGAATTGAAACTTTCTAGGAAATGTCCCTGCAAATGAAGATGTATTTTAATTTGAAGTAAGCACAGTATAACCACTGTCACATGGACTGACCATCAGCAAGGGAAGCATTGCTGGGGATTACGTGCTTTTCAACTCTGTTGTAGGTAACTTCTCACACCAGTAGTGAGTCATGCCTAATAAGCACTGGATTTAGACCAAATTTACTAAATGGAAATGTGTGTGGTGCACACACCCCACACTTCCTCCCTTGTACCTGCGTATTGAATGCCTGGCCACCACAGAGGAAAAGAGGTGAGAGCAGACTCCTTGAGGCTTGTTTCCCTGCTTGATGGCACAAATTTCACTGGGTTGATATGAAGGTCCTGTCAAACAATGACTATTCCTGAGTTTAGATGGAGTTTCTACCAGAACATGTCAGCTAATTAGTATTTAAACTTCTGTGTAGCAAAGGTTGTATACATATGAATTTAATGTTATATTGAAATAATTTTCAACTCCTAAAATTTAATTTTATATTTTTTTTAAGGATTTCTGATCTCGCAAGATAAGCGTTTAAAAAAGACACATACATCCATACACACGCTTACATAACAGGAATATACAGGTTAGAATTTCTCTCCCTGCCTTAAAAACCACAAAGGCATGGAAAAAATCAGATATATGAATCGTGTCCACACGGTAAAAACAATAAACAGTTTAGAGCTTTTTGAGGCAGAGGAGCCCAAAATGAAGCAAGAACTGGGGAAGAAGTGAAAAACTGCATCCAGCATACACAGAGGCAGAGCCTGGCACAGCTCAGCCCATGTGGGTCCCAGCAGTTTGCATCCCCACACCTTCTCCAGGGACAGAGCTTGCCTAAATTACCAGAAGGCACACACAGTTATTTAGCTAGAGTATGGTTAAGAAAGCAATCCATCCTCTGATGTTGTTTTCTACTTTGACCCTTCCTGGGACTAATGTATAGCAACTGTGGCATATTGGGCTGTCCTTCCCAGTCCCTCTGAACCAGGGCTCGATGGGTGTGTGAGGAAGGTCTGTCTGTAGAACCACAAGATGCTTTAAAGAAGATGGTGCTAATTTCTTAAATATGTTTCACCTTTTCACATGCATGAGGCTACCTAACTGGCAGCCTTTGGATTTTGTTGGTTCTGGCTGCACACCTGCGCCTGTCTGTGCATTAAACCTTGACTGTAGGACTCTCGTCACAAATGAACTGTCAAATCATTACTACGTTTGATGCAGCATAATCTGTCTTGAAACTAGAATTGGTCCATCCAGGCTCAAATTTCACTTGCTACTGAGGCTAATATGCTGTTTTGAATATGCATTCATGGAGACTCGCATCCATTGGGATCCAGAGGGAGTACAAGCTAAGAGCAGATTTTCTGAATTAGCATGTCGAGAGGGAAGGGTCTTTCATTTAGACTGCTGCAGATGCCTCTCCCTCTTGTTCATTACAATTGCATTTCATCAGCTTTATGATGTCCACATGTCAATTGAGTGTGAGGATTTTGCACACAAAAGAGCCTCAGGGAAAACGACTTCACTAGCTAATCAGCTGATTATCATACCTCAAATGGGCTGCAGTGTGCTGCTCCAAATACTATATCAGCGAGAGTGGAATTGAAGATTAAGACAGCAAAAAGAAAGCTCTACAGCCCAGTTTAAAGAAATCAAACAGGAATTTGTCAGGGATAGAAAGAAGCAAATATAGCCAGGACAAGTGCCTTGAAAATATCCTGAGGCTGATTAAAAAAAATAACAAATGCCTTTCTTCAAAAGGTGTTGGGGGGTGAAAGGTTAATTAACTGTATTATCTGCCTGTTTATGCCCAGCTGTGTAAAGCTCAATAACACAAGCTCCCACCCTGGTTTTAACATTGCGTCCAAGAATCAAGACCAGTTGCAAGAACAGCCTCTCCTAATAATTTAATTAGCCTCTGAACAAGCTGGATGCTCACAGCTAAGCAGACTCGTTCTCACAGCCTCCCTTTATGTGGATCTCTGTTCTTTTTTGGATCTGCTGTCTGGATGGGGTTCTTAGAGACCAATTTCAATAAATGATCCAAACAGTAATGAGGAGGCTACTATGGAGTCTGGCACACAATAGCTCCTGGTTGCTCCTGTGTGTGGATTCCTCCAGCCCATGAATACAGATCTCTAAGAAGCACCATTTAATGGTTAGTGTGGGCTTTTACTTTTTGTCTGAAATTTACCAAAGTTTTATCCCAGCTCCCTGGAGTCCTCCCCAAGTCTATCTAAAATGCAGTTAGAGCAGAGGCTGTCTTTTGCTTCACAGAGCGTCTGCCTTATGCTTTCATCAGAGTAGTCTAACTCACACAGATGCACTATTTAACAATGCCATCCCCTGCTTTCATCAGAAGGGGGAAGGTTGCAGAGCTGAGCCCTGAAGAATAAGGGGGGCAGGTCCCCTGTGATCGGCGAAAGCTGAACATCGGTGCCAGTTTCCATCTGTCATGATAGCCTATCTCCGAACCTTCAATCTGTCAAAAGCTTGCTGCCTAGCTGAAGGCTCCAGGAGATTTGGTGCACTAAACACATTTGACAACAGCATTATCACTGCAAGGAGCCCAGCAAAATGCCATCAATGTGTTAATTGTAGCCGGCTATGTAAAATGTCACTTCCCATATCATTTTACAGCGGCTTTGCCTATTTTGCAGCTCCTAATTTTCCACCCTTTATAAATACGTGGATTGTTCATGTGGAAATGTGGTTCTTTTTCGTGTCAGCTATAGTTTGTTGGGCTTTTTTTCCCTCCTTAAATGGAGGCTTAATTTGGGTCTAATACATTGCTCCAGGAAAGCAGCAGTATCTGTGGAAAAATAAATAAAAAGCATTCATGGAAATGAATTGTCTGTACATTGCTGCTATTCTAATTTTATATCTCAATGGAGATTTATTTCTGGATCTGTACATTCTTTAGTGTATAAATGATTCATTTTGCTGCTGTTGCTGCAAACTCCCTTTATCGAGTGCATGGTATTTTCACATTCCTGAGAGTTTTCATCTACCGTGATGCAAGAGCACTTTTGTAATGATAAACATGAGAGTACAGCATAAATAAATGAAAAATCCCCCTTGAAGGTATGAATGTGCTTTTTAGCACCCAAGTAACTAATATTCAATTTCTGGTACAACCAGTGCCAGGTGTTAAATTTCTCTAGTTACTGTCACTAATGCAAATTAGATTCTTTTTGTGCTCGTAAAAAATCAAATCCACATTAGAAATTAGCTATAAAATGTAATGACTTAAATGCTATAGTGTTTTACAAATCTCCCTGCATTTCTATAGCAGATAATGCTATAAAACTAGGAAAGGATAATAAAATATGGTAGAAAGTTGGGTTATTTAAAGGTCTATTGTGACTGCTTAGTCAGGGATTTGATGTATTATTTTGCTTTCTTTCCTTGTTGGTTGAAATAAGCATACTTATGATTTAATTTCTTTACCAGATTAGATGTAATCAAAGCTCTCCTTTGAATTTCATGTTACCCTAGCTGCAAAGGCTGTTTGTATTATTGGAAAATATCATCTGGTGAAGTTTATAATATATTTGCAACTTTTAATCATTGGAATTGTAAATGTGTCTGACAGCTGCTAAGAAAGTTGCAGTGATCTTATTAGTAGTTGTAATACTGAGATATATGGGGCTCTGTGACAATTTTCCAACAGGTTCGTTTTTGCCTCCAGCCCCCTTAGATATTTCAAAAATTCTGGTGAAAATAACTAATACAATGTTTATTCTTTTATATATTGTGGTAAAGTCTTTAAAAATGACGAATAGTAAAAATTATATTTGCCAGCCTTTAGATCTAAGGAAATATTGCCTGTGCAAAATTCCCATTTTGTCATCTCTTGCCAAGCATTTAATTTAAAGTATTAAAACAAAATTGCAGCAAAACTCTTAAGTCCTAGGTGTATAGCATATTTCCTGCATACCAAAGGAAGTTTTAATTAAAATTAGCATTTCTGAATTGTTCTATTAGTATAAAGTGAATTCAAGCTCTGCAGTTCACATTCTGCCTCTTTTCCATAGGAAGCATAAAAGAAATTCATACAGTCCCCCTGCAGTCATTGCCATGGGATGTGACCAGGGCACAGCACTTTCTCTGCAGAGCTCGGGCCTTCTCTCCTTCAGAAAACATTTTCCCTATCTATTTCCTGTGTTCCCAAAACTAAAGTCACTGGAGATGTGAAGTATTTTTGTAAGTTTTTGTTCCACATGCAACCTATTATGCATCCCAGTTCTCATTTCATAATCATGAATTGGATAGTCCCAATTCAGGTCCCATCTGGATCTGAGCATAAATGTATGGACTGGCTCAAACCCTGTCAGGAAGACTTGTGGAAATTCCTTTTAGGAGTGAAGGTGATGTGAGTGCAATTCTTAGCCTTGAGTTACTGTGGTAAAGCAATTAGCTTTGTTACCTGCAATTGGACAAGAGGTGAGACAGGAGAAATGGGGCTTTGGCAGCTAGCTGGGAGAGAGATGGTTTTTTTTGAGAACGATCCTGCTCAAGATTGAGACTATGGAAAAGCTGCTGAATGGATATCATTATTGTCACACAGTTTCACAGTTAACAGCCTGTTGTGGCATCTAAAATTTGTGTCACATAGTCTTTTTTCTTGAGTTCTAGGTTTTCAAAATTGCCTAGGAAGAAGAAAGAGTGAAAGATTAGTTTGGGAGTCCCAGATACAGCTTTTCTTAGAAAGTGCTATGGACCTTTTCTCCAAAACTCATCTGGAGTGCTGCAGGTACAGCAAGTAAAAATATGTGGTGCCTTGAAAGTCATGGTACAAAGATTCCCAAAGTCAAAGCAGGGAACATGCACTCCTTGGGTACCTGGCTGGTGAGTCTATCAAGTGCTTTGTCCCCGGTAGCACAGGCATGGAATATAGATACAAAATACATCTTTAAAATATTAAATAATTTAGAACAAAAGAAAGAGGTACTGAAACATAAGGGGCAGTACCTGTTATGGCAATCTCTTGGCTCCACCATCAAGAATGCTTTAAGGGCTGAGGATGGGTTGAGCACTGCTCTGGGCCACCTTTTCCTGCTGACTCATCCAGCCCCAGCCATACCAGTAAGTGATCCTGGTGAATCGTATGAAAGTGCAAAAGACAAGAATGCTTTGGTTTTCTTGGTTTGTTTGTTTGTAAATTAAATCTTTTCAGAAATTTCCAGTAAAAGCACAGCCTCTACATTTCCACATCAGAACACCACCAGTCAATATCTCACTCCTACATGTTGGGTTCAAGGAAAGCTTGCAAGACATGCACTCATCTCAGACAGTTTGTGTGTATGGCCCCAGA